CGACGGAGAAGAAGCAGTTGAACACGATGCGGGAGATCAAGGTGCAGAAGCTCGTGCTCAACATCTCCGTCGGCGAGAGCGGCGATCGCCTCACTCGAGCTGCCAAGGTACCGTAGATCCGCGACCCATCCATCCCAACACGGTCTCCTCGACAAAAAGAATAATTAAAATCCTTTGCTGTATCTGATATTATTTTAGTGCGTGTGGTCATAGATCTGCATTTGCGCGACCCGCTCCAAATTAAACTTATCCCATAGTGCTCTATGGTGTTCGTCTTATGTGCGCTTGCACAGCTAGTTTTCTTAATAATAAATTTTGAGATGCGAGGTTAATTTATTCGAATTTACTCATCAGGTGTTGGAGCAGCTGAGCGGGCAGTCGCCAGTTTTCTCCAAGGGTAAGATATTGTTCAGAAGCTAATGTTTGCTCTATGATTCTGGACTGATTTCAACATCCAGTGGTGCTTACGGTCATGGCGGTTTTATCCTTGCAGCGAGGTACACTGTCAGGTCTTTCGGCATTCGGCGTAATGAGAAGATTGCCTGCTACGTGACAATCAGGGGTGAGAAGGCAATGCAGCTTCTCGAGAGTGGGCTGAAGGTGAAGGAGTACGAGCTCCTGAGGAGGAACTTCAGTGACACTGGTTGCTTTGGGTTTGGTATTCAGGAGCACATTGATCTTGGCATGAAGTAAGATAACCTTTCCTGTACTCTGTTCTGCTTGCATTTTATATATCCGAATTATGTATATACTTAGGACTGTAAATTTGGTTCACTGGATAACTTGATTGTGAGATTGGTTTGCAACATAAAGTTTCTTGTGACATACATGCATTACTGACTGTGGATGCCGGTTCTATAAAAGTTTCTTGTGTGACATACACACATTGTGCAAGTATCACAGTGGAATCCTGATGTCCATGTTGTCATAATCTTAACGCAAAATGGTGGAACTTTTATCATCACAAGTATTTTGTAATGCACTGTCTTTAAAAGTTTGCAATACATAATAATTATAAATACTTTAGTATGCATTGCTATTGCTGCCTACGTTTTTGTTTATCATTGCAAGTCACTTTAGTAAGTGTTGCCCCAGTCTGAAATTATTTTTCTGTGATGGATATGAAGCACTGTTCCTGATGTGTTGGACAATGTGTTTCTCAGTTATTAAGTTTCATAAACAAATCTCTCTTCATAACCGAGAAGTCAAGTTTCTTGAATTCTTGTACATGCTAATGTATGGTGCAGCAATTGATATTTTTTGCTTCCAGTGCAGAAAGGTCTGGTATATTTTGTCTGTCCTTTTCAAGTAAAGAAATCGAATTTTATCAGTATAATGTCTTGTCTTGTTCAGTTATACCTGTATGTTGTCTGGTAGGTTTGTATAAAAGTGTTTTGCCTTCCTCTCTTGACTACTTTTTGCATGCTAGTACTATTGATATCCTATTGCTTACATACTTCAAACTTACTGGATTAATTCTCTCAGGTATGACCCATCTACCGGCATCTACGGTATGGACTTCTTCGTGGTTCTGGAGCGAGCTGGATACCGAGTCTCCCGCCGGCGCCGATGCAAGGCCCGTGTTGGGATTCACCAAAGGGTGACCAAGGAAGACGCCATGAAGTGGTTCCAGGTCAAGTATGAGGGTGTCATCCTGAACAAGTCCCACGCTAGCTAGTAACCTTTTGAGTGATTGAGTTGTCGTTAGAGCTTAAGTCTGTCAAGCTTAATCTGGATCATGGAATCGTATGTTTATTGGATACAAAGTTGCACTATCAATTTTGCCTTGTCTGTTGGGCTGACCTGCATCTATAATTCCATCAAATCTTTTCGTGGTTTCATATTTGAAGTTGAACATTTCATCAACTTTTTTTCTGCTGTTGTCTTTCATTCTCTCATTTAGGCAGCAAAAACAGGCTAACAACTCCCTAGAGAGGCTTTCTGTCTCGTGTTGTCGTTCAGATTACCATACTGTTCTTGAGTTGAAGTACATACTTGCTACACTGTTTTTAGTTGAATCAGAGCATTCTGCCCGGATGGAAAATTGCTACTCAACCTGATGCTTGAAACGCAGCCCGGAGAAAATGCCAGGGCTGACTCGCAAATCCTATATCCAGCCCATAACTCCCGGAAGCCCCCTGTTGGATCTAGCAGGGAGCCCTTGGATTTGACCCGCTATGGCCCGCCTGACTCTATGTAAATTTATCCTCATTCGCGGTCCGAACCAAACCTTAGCCACTTCATTTTCCTTCCCCTGCTCTTCGCGACTATGGCCTTATCACTTGCGGTCTCGAGGAGGATAGGGTGGTTAAGTGCGCATGATCATGGACGGACTCGTTCCTGCGCATCTGCTAGGGCTCGTGATGGAAGATGCACCACCTGACCGGATGCGGTGTGGCCCGTTTGACATCCGAACATTGGATAGCGGCGCAAACCCTAAGGTGGTGCGTCATTCTCATGATCATGGACAAACTCGTTCCTGCGCATCTGCCAGGGCTCGTGGTGGGGATGGCGGCGCAAACCCTAAGGTGGTGCGTCATTCTCGCGGGGTCGGTCTTGAGGCGTACGCGACGAGGCTGCAGAGGCGGAGTCACATGTCGCCAGCCTGGCTACATCCATTGTCGATCTCACATCGATCGTCGACGTTGAGGCCATGGACTCCAATGAGGAAGTGTAAGACATGGAAGATGATGACGCCTGAAGTCCATGAGCTGGTCCATGTCCCACGCCCTGCTATACCTCGCCGCTGACCGCATCTTCACTCCGAGGGGCTTCATTAGACATGGACACGGCCGTGGAGCTGGACGAGCGCTGGCGAAGATTTAAATTAGGTTTTATCTTCATGTAATTATATGGATTTAATGATTTAAAAAATAAGGTATTCAGTTGTAGAATTCAATGTTTGAGTGCTGGTCGATCACTGTCCGCGAACGCGGCTGGCTGTTTCATATGTTGTTTTTTTGAATTGTTTGGATTGCTTATCACATGTGTCACGAAGTGGCTGTTCCATACGTTTGCTCTTACTATTCTACCTTTTGATCGCCAGCCATTTAATTCCTGGCATCGCTAAAGAAAGATCTCAATTAAAGTCCTTCCTCCGGTTCCGTCACGCAAGAGATATGCAACGCTGTAGTAGTATGTGATACAATTTCGAGGCTTCAAACATCTCAAACCATACGATTATGGACGAACCACGACGAGATTAATACAATGATCAAACACGCAAGCAAGAAATTGCAGAATGACTGGGTTCTGCAGGTGCAGAGACCCCTGGCCTTGGATGAGCCTCCTCCATCCACGCTCGCCATCCCATGCCACTGTCGCATGAACTCCTTGCCGCCGCCGCCCCATCCAGTGATGTTCGCCGCGTTCTCGCCGCAGATCTCGCACCGCCTGCATTCAACTCCTTTTTAAGCCAACCTATTAATCAAATAAAAATGATGCTAATAGGTTGTTCTTTTCTTTTTTGCTGACTTTACGACATTGGTCCTAGTATATTTGTCGGCACCATTACAATTATACTTGCTCGTTCCAGAGTACTCTGGACCAATATCATTAGATGCGTCATGAATTTAATTTTTATAATATATAGATTTTATATTATAGATGTTAATGTTTTCTTATACAAATGACCGAAAGGAGTATTTTCCAGTGTTTTTTAGTTTTTTCTAAGGAGCCGGCGGGAGCATTGAGAAACACACTTTTTTTCTTGTGAGAAGTGGCAAAACCCTAGAAAGCTAATAAAACATTGACAACTCTGCCGATGCTCACAGTAGGCAAGGCGGAACCCTTTCAAGGATGAACTAGCCGATGATCACCCCTTGCATCACCTTGCGCTCTTCAAGCCAGGACTGCAGCGCCGATACCGTGCAGGAAGTGGTCGCCATGATTCCCCAGTGCCTGGGCTCCCACCCGAACATTGCCTTGAAAGGAGTCATGCCTATTGCAGAGTGGTATGATGAATTATACCAAAACTGTGCCAATGGTATCCAAAAGCTCCATTTCTTGGGACATGCTTGAACGAAACACCTCAGGTAGGTCTTGATGCACTGGTTGACTCTCTCCGTTTGACCATCTGTTTGTGGGTGATTCGCCGTGCTCATGCGCAGCTCCGTTCCTGCATACTTGAACAACTCTCGCCAAAAATGGCTGGTAAACACCGGGTCTCGGTCAGACACAATGGCTCCAGGGAATCCGTGCAGCTTGTATAATTGTTGCATATACAGAACAACCACTTTGGCAGCAGTATAGGGGTGCGCCAGAGGAAGAAAATGGGCAAACCTCGTGCGCTTATCCACGACCATCCGCAGGCAGTTGAACTGCCCTGATTGCGGCAGTCCGTCCACAAAATCCATGGTAATGAGATCCCAAGACTCGCGAGGGATTGGTAGAGGCATCAGGAGATCCGGGGAAGCTGATCTATCTGGTTTTGCTTGTTGACATACCTGACAGCAGCGCACGTATTGTTGAACATGTGTCTTCATTTTGGGCCATGCAAACAGCCCGCGGATGCGACGATAAGTCACTGGGAAACCGAAATGCCCTCCCATGGCCCTGTTGTGGAAAGCTGAAATAATGCGCTGCTGTATCTGTGTTGACCCCCCTAGCCAGATTCTATCACGAAAACGCAGCAGCCCCTGTTTTAGGGTGAACCGCCCTTTTGGATCCTCTCTGATGGCTAGCTGTTCCAGGAGACGCTGAGCATGTGGGTTACTGTTGTAACTAGCAACGACCTCCTCAAGCCAGGCGGGTTGGCATGAGCTGATGCCGTGCAACAGCTCGGTGGGATTGGCGCGTGAGAGAGCATCGACGGCCGTGTTGTCGCTTCATTTCTTGTAACGGATGGAGAAACGCAGCCCCAGGAGCTTAGTAAATGCCTTCTGCTGCCATGGTGTTATGAGGCGCCGCTCATTGAGGTGGATTAGGCTGCGCTAGTCAGTGGAGATGATGAATTCGGCATGCTGGAGATAAGGTCTCCACTGGTCCACCGCCACAATTACTGCCAAGTATTCTTTTTCGTAAGTGGACAGACCCTGGTAACGCGGACCTAACGCCTTGCTCATATACGCAATGGGATGCCCCCCTGTTGCAGAACTGCTCCAATGCCTTTATTGCTGGCGTCGGTCTCCACTACAAATGTCTTGGAAAAGTCCGGCAGGGCCAGCACTCGTGCCTCGATCAGCTGTTGCTTAAGGGTTTGGAAGGCTGATTTGGTCACTGAAGTCCAGACAAATGGCACCCCTTTTTTGAGAAGGTTGAAAAGGGGCCATGCTATAATGCCAAAGTTTTTGACGAAATGGCGGTAGTAGCCTGCTAGGCCGAGGAAGCTGCGGACTACCTTGGTGCTGTCGGGTGACGTCCATTGTGACATTGCTTTTATCTTGGCTGGCTCCGTTGCAACGCCCTGAGCGCCGATCACATGCCCCAGATAGGAGAGGCGCTGCTGCCCGAACTCGCATTTTGATAGTTTGGCCTTCCACTCGTCCCTTCTGAGCAGAGCGAGCACATTTCTCAGGTCATGGACATGGTCTTGGAGGGTTTTGCTGAACACCAGTATGTCGTCGAAAAAAACCAGAACGCATGATGTGGTTGGAATAATTGAGGTAAGTGGTTGCAATAATTGAGGTAATAGTCACATGATGCGCGTTCGCTGTTGAGCTCGTATAAAAATGTTACTCCCTCTCTAAAGAAATATAAGAGCATTTAGATCACTACTTAGTTCTATACCAGCTTACGGTTCTGATTGCACAAGTTTATTCTTTTTCTTCACCACAGTTAGTGATTCCATACATTACTTATGCCCGTCCGTATAATACGCACTTCAGTCATCCTCCCTAACTGAGAAAGCTCCAATGTTGACTGGCACAAAAACTATTCTTCAGAGTTTGACGCATTCAGAGCGTCTTGAGCTCCTTTCTTATCCTAGAATTTCAGGTTGAGCGTTTGCCTCAAATTTTCATGCTTTGTGTCTAATACCACTACTTTTTTCTAGGAAAAAAACCGTACATACTGGGTTCCATGAGGTCTTGCGAATCGACGGCGAGGGTGTTAGCCAGGTGCGGCAACCATCGGACATGACGGGCCGGTGCGGTGGCAACGCGGAGGCGAGAGATTGAATTGAGGAGGCGACGGTTGCCAAAGAAGAAGATGATTGAAAAAAAGTACTACGTATAAGCATTTTTAAGCACACAAGAGTTGGGATCATCAATACCTATTGCCCCTCACGGAGAACCATGCCTCGGCGCACCGCCGGTGCGCCGCCGCGATCTCGCCTCGGCAGCCGCAGCCGAGGTTTACCAACTGCCCGCTCCCGCTCTCCGCCGGCAGGTCGCCGTCCTCAAGCTGGCAAATTCTGCAGCCGCTCCCGGTTCCAACCTGCCCCTGCCGATCAGCCGTCACCGCCGACCTGTCGATGTCGACCGCAACATGTCCGACGACGCCGCCTTCCACGGTCGGCCCTTCACACGCTCCAGCGCCTCCAGCAGTTGTCACCATGGCCGCCTTCTCATCTCATCTCATGCCATGGTGTCGTTGATGGACCAATATCTAATTAATGACCTACGGAATCTTGGGCTTTGCGGGAAGAAATGAATGATGACGGGAGGGAGCTACTGTAGATTCTTGTTATCGTCTCGGTGTTGCGAATTGGCCGACGCAAGTTGACTTTTTTTTTTTCTAACACGGCGCAAGTTGAGCCGAGACAGCGAAAGGTGAGGGCGATGCAATGCAGGGATTCAAAATGGGAAAAAGGGCAATGAGTGCCGGACTTTGCGTACCGGCCAATTCTTTGTTTCTTCAAACAGTAAAGGAATTCAAATAGGGTTGGTCTTTTTTCTTGGATGAAATCGTTGGGGTACACAAATTCAAATAGGGTCTGTTTTTTTTTATACAGTACTCCTTCAGTTCCTAAATATTTGTCTTTGTAGATTTCAAATGGACTACCACATACGGATGTACATAAACATATTTTAGAGTGTAGATTCATTCATTTTGCTTCGTATGTAGTCACTTATTGAAATCTCTAGAAAGATAAATATTTAGGAACGGAGGGAGTATTTAGTATTGTGGCAGATTATAATATTCCCGGCTGCGTAGTTTTTGACTACTAGATGATGCCCCACACGTTGTTGCGAGAATATTTTGCAATATTTCAATGAAGTTTTGGTTATATGAAACATCAATATTTGAAATAATAGTTTTTGAAAGTATATAAGAATTAAATGTAAATAACATAATAGAATGGAATTTTACATGCAAGCATGATTGCATGTTGAAGTGGTTTTTTATTACGCGTAGTTGCATGCTTGGGTGGGCATTTTCTTATGCATGTTGAATGATCAGGTGGCAAGCTTGCATTTTGAGAGAAATATGTTAGTGGGGGCTAACTATTTAGATATAGAAGATTTATCCTTCAGCCTTTTTATAAGTGACAACATATATAAATGACGACAAGTACATTTAGTGAAAGTTATGACTTCGAGGAAGGAGGTTAGAGCTCGCAAGAATAAAAGAAAAAACAGGACCAAAAGCACCCTCCACCATGTTATTGGAGAAGAAGACCCTATAAACAGGCGCCCATTAGATCTGCTCGCTACAGAATTTTCGCACTAATCCAGATGATCTGGGTGTTCCGGCCCGTAGGTCGGACCACTCAATACCGTGAGATAGAGCAACTGCAAACCCGGAATGTCAAACCCTCGGGCACTCTAAATAGACATGCACAGAAAATGTCAATACTTTCTTGTACGAACTATGTTCTCAATGATCTAGGACAAATTTGAAAGCTAATAATAATATCTAGGTCCTCACAAAAAGAGCCACCCTACGTTAACAAAGCATGGAGGATGCAAAATATTAACACCTTTGAGCACTCTATGTATGATGTGGTTAAACCATACATCTGGTAGCCCCTCTTTGTCATGTGGTTATCAAAACTTTAGAACTATAATACGGTCTCCCTCCAAGCACCTTGAGACCAGTAACTAGGAAAGTCTAGCGTATGCAACCCTTTTCATTGCTCATCCCACTTGAGGTCGATGGTGTCGTTCATGCTTCTCTCAAGTCATAATCCTTATCTTGATCATGAAAACTTTGAGAAGACTATCAATTCCGCCCCCCATACTCTAGTGTGGGAAGCCTTCACTTGAACACATTTTCACATGTCCATTATTACTAGATGGATGACAAGCTTCAACCATATAATTCTCCGAGTGCTTATCTTGAACTTGCTCTTTCATATCCCCAAGTGCAAGAGATTACAACAGTCTTCATTGAGAAGTATACAACTCTAATATATATATTCAGCACGGTGGAATAGAAAAGAATACTTCTAAGCTTTAGAGGTTGAGCTGTCAATTCAACCACACCTGAAAAACAAGTATTGCTCAAAGCATTTATTAATAGCAATGACAATGGAGTGATCTGAGGGGTGTATGTTTTAGTAAAAGTAAGAAAGCAGAATAATAACCAACAACTGCCAACTATCAATTTTCTTGACGAGAGCAAGCAACAGCAGAAAACACAGGCATGTGGATGGATATCGAGATATTGCATGGATGATATCAATTATGTAATAAAGCAATCCAAAAGGTGCAATGTCTAACTCGTGTTCTAAAATTATTATAGTTGATGGTATAACGGCGGAAAAAATTTATATGAGACCAGGTCTCGCGGTCCGCCCTGATGGATGACACGTGGCATTCACAAATCACAAAGCATCTAATCTCCTCCCCCCTGATTTCAGGTGGAGGGTGGGGTAGATGCTTTGTG